CTGAAACAAGGAAAGAAATATTCCGTTTTAAAATCAAGCTTCCTCAATGGGTTAGGTACCTTAATTATTAAGTCGTAAGTATCTGTTGCCTGGTTTTGATGTATTTTAATAGAGAATGTTTTACATGTGTTGAGGTTTGAGAATAAATAATTACAATGTGTAAACAGACATTTCTTTATACTAATGTTATAATTATATTTGCTTTTATAGGTGTTCATTGTATTGAATATACATGTCATTAAACAACTATGGTCAGTCTTTTGTTTTTTGATGGAAAGATGGGTCTATTACATCAGAACCAGTCAAATCTACGAGAAATTAGACAGGTACTTTGGGGAGAAATTAACTGGTATATACAAACCTGAGGACCTAAACCTGCTTTCAAGAAATAATTCACCAGAATATTTATTTCTGTCTAATTATTTTATTATAGCTATCCAGCATAGGTCTCATAATTGAATAACATTCACACCTACTCAGATTATATTAAGATTAGATTTTCTTGTAGAAGATTCATCTTTAAAGTAAGTTTCAGTAACTCCAGATTAGAAAATTAAGAAGAGAGAAATTTTTAGGTTTTTAGTTCAAATATAATTTGCCCTAAAGAGATAATCCAGAAATTTGGTTTCCAATTCCATCATCAGAATGCCTTTAAAAAATTAGATTTTACCATGTATAGCCAGAGGAATGAGAAGTTGTGATCCATTTGTTTGCCAAAATGCATTCTACTGTCATGTCTAACTAATTAGAACAAATGAAAAAAAAATAACAAATGGTATATAAACTTTAAAAAATTAAATTTTGAATAAGGAATGCATATTATGTAAATTTTGGGGGATATGGGGAAGGTTGGTAATGTGAATTTGTAAGGAGGCAACATCTGGGGCTTTGGTTGGGTTTCAGAATGGATAATAGAGGGGGAAAATATCTATAATTTTAAGATTTCCTGCAAGAAACCAAGTTTCCTTTTAAGTACTTGTTTCTTGCATATGCCTAAAGGGAGGCTACTGAAGTAAAATATGACACTAAAATATAATTAGCTGTGTGGGAGACAACGGCCTCTACAGTTAAACCCTAATTAGAAGACACAGCTGGCTTTTGTACTTCCCCAGACCCTACCCCCATTTTTGTTTTGACATTCTCCTCATACCCACTTTCAAAGGCAAAGGTGTGTTTAGAAATAATGAGCTTTTATAGATTAAGGTTCTATTATTTGCCTTTTATGGGGAGATTTGGATTCAATTCTGAAATTCCATCCAATCTCTGTGGTTCTTTGGCAACTGCATGCATTTTGTTAAACAGTGGCTCTTAGACCAAAACAGTCGAACAATTTGGCTCTGGGTCATGTTTTAAGAACACTCATGCCTGGCAAGGACACATAGAAGCTACTATTTAACAATTCACCAAAAATGAGTGCTGGGTCACTGCCAGCTACAATTCCTGGATCTCAAAACTTTTAATAATTAATATGAAAGAAGAAAAAAATGTCACCTGTTTTTGGTTTTCTATCAAGTTAGCAGTTTACATATTAGGACCCATTACTTTCTAGAAGTCACTTGGTCTGAAAGAAAGTTTGCCATGAGAGTAATTGTCAAATGTGCTTCTGGAATTCATGTGTTTATGCATAAAAAAGAGCAATTAATTTGGTGGAATGTAGCACAGATGTACATTGTAGCCAAAACAATTTAGTTTTTAACTTGTAAATGCAGATATACATTGGAATATGATATTTTAAAATAAAAGTGAATCATGCAGGAAATAATCATCTATAACTAAATGAACATTTCAAATCATTAATAATGCCCATTTTGAATAAATAGTACAATATCTACAGTTTTAGAGGAACTTGGCATGAGTAATTAAATTTTCTAAATTTATTAGAAAAACTTTGATTTGAATTATAGAAATGTTCACTTCCTATAAACACTAGGTATTTAGGTATTGACACATAAAAATTATACATGAGGGTCCATGTGATGTTTTGATACATACATACATTGTGTAATGTTCAAATCAGGGAAAGTATATCTATCTCCTCAAACATTTATCATTTCTTTGTGGCGAAAACATTCAAAATCTTTTTTTCTAAATTATAAAAATATATATAGTACATCATCATTTTTCTAGGTGCACAGTTACCCTACTGTACAATAGAACACCAGGATTTCTCTCTCTAAACTGAAACTGAGTCCCCATTTTTCAACCTCTCCCCATCTTTCCACCTCACCCTTGTGGGCCTATGGTAACCACCATTCTACTCTCATCTTCTGTTAGATCAATGTTTTTAGATTCCATACAAGTATGATTACATGATAATTTTCTTTCTGTTCCTATTTCACTTAACATGATGACCTCCACAAACATGTTACAAATGACAGGATTTAATTCCTTTAACGACAACATAGTATTTTGTTAAATACTAGGTGTTTTTGACATAGCTTGTTCAAATATGTTAAATAAAAAGGCACATATAAAATGAGTGCTTCCATTGTTTTTAAGTTAACCATTTCATTAGAAAAAATTGTTAGAGTAGGTTTATGATTTTATAAAACTCAGTGATTGCTTAGTTATCTGTGTGTTCTAGTTAAATTCTTTACACCGCCGAAAGGGGAGAATCATCTGGGGTTTGTCACTGGCCTGGAAGGAATATCCTTGTCAAGATTATTAAGCTCTATCAGATGTTTTTGAGTTGGACATTTACCTTCTGTATAAGTCAAGGTTCTCCAGAAAAACAAACAATATAATATGTACAGATATGTAGAATGATTTATTATTATTAGTGATGGGCTCAGTGGAGAGGTCCCACCAGGCAAAAGTTGCAAGGTGGAGGCCTGGGAAAGCTGGTAGTGTAGTTCATTTAAGCCCAATGACCTGTGAACCAGAGGGCTAATGTTTATGGGCAGGAGCAGATGAATGCCCCAGTACAAGCAGAGAAAGAAATTTGCTTTTCCTTCTATTTGTGCTCTTAACAAACTGGATGATGCCTACTGTACTGTGAGTGTGATCTTTACTTGGTCTACTGATTCCAGTGATAATCTCTCCCAGATATAGCCTCACAGATATACCTAGAAATAATATTTTGCCAGTTATCTGGGGTATCTCTTATCCTGGTCTAATTGACCATAAAATTAACCACCATACCTAATCCAAAGGAACAAACTTTGTTTTTTTTTTTTGCTCAGAAACAAAACTGTCTTTGAATGAAAGGTCATTGTTATAGTTTTCTCTACAATTGTCTAAAGGAATACCATGAATTTTAAAACCCTAATTATACCCTTAGCCCTTTGTTGAAGGGGTATATCTTAGGGAAATATCTCCAACAGAAAATGAATGATCTGTTCCTTGAGTTGGCACCTAGCCTCTTTCACTGAAGTTTTGCTTTCCATAGGTATGGGTCCTTCTTTCTGTTCAGGCCTGCTTGAAAACCAGCTCTTATCATTCAGAGAGAGGGAGGCCATGTCCTGTGGATGCTCTGCTAGCCTTGGGCTCCTGGCCCTCCTGCTTGAAGATTGTCCTTCAGCTCCTGTGTCTAGACAGATGCTCTGGGGCTGGACTTCCTGTCTTTCTCTGCCCCTGGGAGTCTGTGTCATCTTCACTTCCCTTTACTTGCCTGGCTGCTTCTCCCTGTGGGCTGCTTCTACCTACCTGGCCTGTCCAAACTATGTGGATAAATTTAAATTTTCTTTCTGAGAAGCCCAAGTCTTCAGAAAATCATGTTGAGAACATATAGTTAGAATTCTTTCATTCTTTCCTAATCAAAACAATCCTTCCTTGATGTTATGGCTTCTGCTCGCTTAAATATGTAAATGTCCTTCACTTTTCTTGATTTTTTAAAAAAAGATTTGTTTTTAGGAAAATTGGAATTGCAACTGGAGGGCAAGATTCACATTTCAGCAACACATACAGCAAATTTATTCCTACAGTGGCTACGGATAACACTTGTTCCCCCACGTCTATAAACAGAGCCTGGTTCATAGTCCTAATTAATTAATTTTATTAACTTGGAGACGAAAGGAGGTGGCAACTTAAACAAGGAAATAAAAGGCAGTAGACCTCACAGACTAGTTCTATATAACTGCTTTTTACTGAAAGTAAAAGAGCAGTCACTTAGTTATTACATGTAATAAAGCAAAAGAGGTGCTTGGCCTGTGTAGCACTGTATCTCCAGCTTACTACAGAATATGTTAATGAGAGGGAGAAGAAAGCAATTTTTTTCATTTAGTGCAAATAGCAAGTTTATTTTCTTTGATATGGAATTAACAAAGGAATGATGCTGAAATGAGGTACAATTGCAACATTTGCATATTAAAACTTCCCTTGAAACATGTATTCAGATCCTTGTTAAAGTTATTGATTGTCAGATCAAATAAATTGAAATTCCAAGTGTGTTCAGAGGAATCCAAAAATTTGTGGCTTTGGAAGTTTCAAAATGGTAATTTTATTCCATAGTCATAATTACTGGGGAAAAAAATATTCTCTTGGCTAAGACCAAGAGTTTTGGTCAGCACTGTCATACTGTATATTTTCACTTTATCCAAAAGCTGAGGCATTTTGTAGAGATAATACATACATTTCTATCATATAATTTTTGGAAATGCCCTCAGTTGGCTTACGAGTCCCTTAGAGGGTCAAGTTAACATGAATTAAACAATGATGATAAAGAGTTTACCAGTCATTTCCTTATAGTTGTGATATATTCAGTTAATATTCATGATGTTACAGTGGAGAAACCTAGGCCTATATAAATATACATGCATGTGTAGCAAGACTGATGATTTGATACTCATTAATGCTGAAATAGTAAAAATTACAGTGACTTAGAAAGATGGTATCTCTTAAGGACACATTGCTGAACACATGGCCTCCTACCTGCTCTCTAAAGCAATATGTATAATTTAACCACCAAATATAGAACAGATGAATACCAGGAGACAAAAAAAGCATTAAAGCACATTACAATCTTGAATAAGCCCAAACTTCAAGTACATAGAAAAAGCATTGCAATAATGTATTTAGCTTTATTTTTCTAATATATATCATAATTTAAAACTATATAAAGTCACTTATATAAAAGCAATTTTTTCAAGTGTTATAGCTTAGAGCATGGCTTTATATTTGGCTTAATCATTTTTTTTGCCAGTTTAATTTATAAAGCTCGTAATCTTGCCAGCAGGGCTTCAACTTCGGGAACTGATTCGTTTTTAGAAACAGAGCCAAGAAGTTCCATTTCCTTTTTTCTGGTACTTTCTACATTACAGGCTTCCTTCTTCTCAACTGCCTTGATCCTCCCTGTAGACGAATGAATGTCTGGATTATAATTAAGCTCCTTGGCGACTGTAGTCCTTGTGGAGTTGCAATTGATACTGTAGTGTGAATGTGACCCTTCTGTCAACTGCACTTTCTGATTTTCTACAGGAAAGAAGCATAAAACTTGTCACTGTGATAAGCGAGGACTAGGCACATTGTAAAACATAAATGTAAAATAATTATTCATAATAAGCAAGTTCTCTTAGACTAAACTAAAAAATATCCAATTTAAAATAAACATGTAGAGGTCAAGAATATACAGCAACATAATAGAAAACCACTTCATTAGCACCAGAGCTTACCTTCTCCTTCCTTTAGGCTTGAAATGCCTGTCACTATGTTATCAGGGTTTGGTCCCGTATTTCATGTAGGTTTCTGCTCAAACATCAGTTAAATGGAGTCTCCTTCCCTAGTCATTCCTCTAGAATTGTACATATCCTTTTCATTGCTCTAGCCCCTCATCCTTTCCTTCCCAGAACTCAGGACCACGAGATGCATCATATTTGTTTACTTGTATACCGTCTGTCTCTTTACTAGAATTATGCTCTGAGACACCAGGAACATTCTTTTAAATATTGCTGCAGTCTCAGTGCCTAGAATGGCCCTGGTGCAAAGGAACTGCTCACTAAAAGTGTGTTGGATAAAGAGTTTATTATCTGACACATTTTGGCCCAAGATAAATACTATTTGAATAATAATGAAATTTTCTTTTTGAAGAAAACCAAGGAAGAAAGCCTCTAATCAGAATTTTAAAATTCAGTGTTTCCCTTAAATAATAAATTTAGCAGGCAGACCATTCAAACTTTCCAGCAAACCAGAATTATGTCCTATATGCACATCTATAATATGTGTACACATTGACACACACCCAAAGTGATGGTGAAATGATGTACCAAGGTAGTAAGGTGTTAGAGTCTGTAAACAAGTCAAAATAACACCTGGCATTTTGCCAGGGGAATGTTAGAGTTCGTAAACAAGTCTGGATGGTGCCTGGCAAAATACCAGAGGGAGTGGTTTGAGAAGTAACAAAAGCGAGCCATTATGTGTGGAGATTCCTGATTGGTTGACTGCTGTATCTAGTTTATGTTAATTAGATAAGCTGTGTGGAATGTATAAATACCGCTCCTATCCTACAATAAACGGCTTCCACTCCTGCTGTATCAATGTACAGAAGTTGTTCGTCACCCCCCCGGTTACTTTGCTGCAGCCAGCCGGACTGCGGCAGTAAGGAGAGAGTTGCAAGAGCTAATGATTAAATGGCTTGGCTGACTGAGTTTCCCAAAGAGACCTAGAATTTCTTTTAATTATCTTGATCTCACACTGCACAACCTATCTTAAAAGCAGATACCTTCAATATTCATGTAACCTTGAATGGGGCTTGAAAACAGCTTCGACAAACTTGACATGACATTTAAAGTTTTTTGGTTATTCGCTGAGAGATGTTCCATTATCCCAATAGTAATGACTTTGGAGCACAAGCAGTCACTCATGACAGTGTGTTTTATGTGAGTGCTGAAAATTCCAACCGAAAACAGCTTGTACATTAAAAGGTGGCTGCTGAAGATATTTACTGCACTGTCATTTCCTGACCAGGGGCTTCCAGTGATGGATGAGTATTTCACACAGTTTCTTGGACAATCTCAACAAATTTTAGAAGTATGATCACCTTTTAGCTGTTGGAAGAAGATAAATACACTTTTCTTATCACTTTCTCTATCAGGTGGGCAATTGTTACTCAAAAATCAAAATCTAATAGAGCAGTGATTTTCTCTTAGAGCAGTTTATGTGCTGCAGCTTATAATGTACAGATTGCAAGAAATGGCACAGTGGACATGGTAGTTCAGCAGTTCCCATGACCACATGAATTAATTTTTCTAGCACCTACCATCCTATCCCAAGAGTGTTTAAAAAAGTGCATTTGCAGCTAAGTGCAATCATTTTTCCCCTCCCCCAATGTTCCTATCATTTCTTGTCAACTACTCCATCATGGGCTATCTAACAACTCAGTTTATTCTGCTACTGGGCAACACTAGTTAAATGTCTGATTGCAAACAGGTTAGGTTGGCTAAAATATAGGTCTGGAATATGAAAAAAATGTATGCTTTTGAAGGACCTCAAGGCCCCAGGCCCAACATTAGGAAATCCAGCCCCTGTGCCTTGAAGCTGCAGGATGCTTTCTTACCCAGCCCCCATGTCAAAACCCCACCAGTTGCACATAGCATTTCAAGTCTTGCACAGTGGCAACCACAAGATGTTCCATATAGATAACCCCGGGAGGGCCAAACTTGAGCAAAAAAAACCAAGTTTACCCCCCAGGTGACCCTGCTGCTGGATTCAGGGAAACCAATAGAAAGGCTGCTGCTGTGCTAAGCTGAAAACTAACCCCCTGCTCCCTATAAAAGATCTGTGCCCCAGAGCCTGGTGTGCCAGTTCACTGAAGCTCCGGCTGAGGTTTCGCTGAGCACCCGCAGGCGCCTGTGTATCAATAAACTTGCCTCTTGCTTTTGCAGCCAGTGTCTCGTGTGGTTCGTTCCGGGTTTGGGATCTGTGGATCTTTCATTTGGAGGTTCCACCGAGATCCAAGATCCCGGTTCCGATCCCGATCCCTATCCGGAGGACACCCGACATCACTGGGAGGTAAGCTGGCCAGCTCGAGCTGTCTATGTCTAACCTGTTGTCCTGTTGGTTATCTGTTTTCTGTTTTGTGCGGCGTCTGAAAGACTATGCATAGTCACTTAGTATTCTGATTCTGAAGCAGTTCCGTGATCACTCAGGTTTCTGAGGCAGACGGGGAAGGAGTTGACGAACTCGGACTTCACCCCTGCCACCCTGGGAGACGTCCCAGGGATCAGAGGGGTCCATTTCTTTGGGGCCCCCGGTGTTTCCGAGGGATACACCACTTTTGTAGGCAACGGAGAAGCAGTTTCTCCCAGGCCATCTGTTTTGTAGGCGACGGAGAAGCAGTTTCTCCCAGGCCATCTGATTCTTTCGGTTGGTGCTGAAGCCGCGCAGCGTTCTTTGTGTTTTATGTCCTGTCTGATTCATATCTGTACTTTAGAGATGGGAACCAAATTTTCAGTCACAAATTTTGACACTCTCAAGGGGACTTTTAAGGAGTCCCCACTCTGCTTTCTTGGGGAAGCCTAGCACTCGAAACAACTGCAAGCAGAGGATAAACTTTTTGGGAGCTGGCTACTAAAAAGTTAAAAAAAAAAAGCCTAATGCCTAAGGTCAAACCAAACTGGAGGAACTGATCCTGTGGGTGAAAGATGGGATTAAGGGACTCCCAGCAGCTGCCAGAGCCATTTAGCTCTGGGGAGTTCCCTGGGTCCTTATCTACATCTTAAGGATTACGCCACCTCTGTTTACTTAAAAAGAAGGGACACTGAATGCAGTAAAGCCAGTCACACTGAGACCCTTGATTTTACACCTATAGTTGCCCCTACGTGAAAACATCTGGTCCACTCATGGGAAAGTCTATGGTGCCACTGATAGGAGTCATAATTAAATGAAAGTTCAAAACCTGGAGAGATATTTTCTTATCTGGTTGTCTGATTGTTTCTTAAAGATGATCTAGGTTAAATGTGTGTCTAAAAAATAATTTTTTATTGTAACAATCTGGTATCTGAATGGGTTTCTAAAGCATTGCACTATCTTGCAGTTAAAAGTTGGGTTTAAGCAATTGTTTAGTTTGATTTCAGATAGTTCATGCTAGAAAACTTAAATACTTGGAATAAAAAAAAATTAATTAAAATTAAAGAGTTTCAATTTTGAACTGGGTAGCCTGAAAAGAAATTAAAACGTTGGTCTGGCTCATAAAAATGACATTAGATAATTAAATAGCAATAGTCTTAAAAATTTTCAAAGCTTAATTTCAGATATATATGGTAATACGTGGGCAAATTTAATGTAACTCAATGCTACTTTAGAAACTTCAGAACTAGCAAAGTGACTTAGAGGTACTAAAAAATTTCTTCTGATGGTAGAGATCCTATTTCCAGTTTTATGTGAACAAGTTTTTCTAATGTAAAAAGATAAAATTTTAAATTTTGAAAATTACTTCTTAAATTTGTATTATAATTTTCAACATCTAAAACCTGGAAATATAACTTAAGGTTAAAATGCCTTAGGCCTAAAGTGTCTGCTCAAAATAGCAGTTCCTGTCCTCAAAATTAAGCTTATAAGTTTCTCTAGGTGTTCAAAAAGGCCCTAATAAAATGTTAACTCTGCTTAAATTTAGAAGTTTACAAATATTGTTTCAAAATGTGAACAAAAAGAGGTTTATATAATTATGGTGTTATTAATGTGTTCATATCTTCCAGGTATACAAGTCTGTAAGGTAGAAGCTTCAAAAGAACATTATATCAAGCTGGTGTTCTAAAGTTGTATGGTAATTTTAAATTTTGACCTCTTGTAGAAAAGTAGTAATGTACTTTATTGCAAAACACAGGAGTGCATTGCTGCTTTTCTATAGGAGGTTAAAAGCTTTCAGCCTTTAATTCATGTTTTAGGTGTGATATTATGTTGTGTTAGCTAATGTTCATGTAAACTTGAACAACAATTTATGTAAACTTTATAAAATGATCAGCTTCAGAACTATAGTACTTGAGATTTATAAAGAGCCCTGCCTTACTTGAGATAAGGCTCTGTCCCATCTCACTACATGTAAAAGTGGCTATAAAAAAGTAAGCCAGATTTCAGTACAGTTAAAATTGTGTCCAAAAATAGGTTTATGCCAAGATTACTAGGATCTCAAACAGAAAATTATGATGTATAACCCTGCTAGAATTCAAGGTAGCTATTATATAAGCTAAATATGTTTTTACCCTAGTTAGTTTTGTTTTAAAATTTACTTATAGATGGTTTAAGGATTGCCTGTTAATGTCTTAAAAAGGTATTGCTTTAAGAACACAACCTGGGCCAACATAAGATAAGAAGTTATCACCTACAGGATAGAGAGATAAACATTAAAGCCCAGTGCTCTTAATATAAGGCTGTTAACTTATTTGCTGGATGTTTAAGATCAAGTTTTTAAAATTAATTAAATTAAAAGGGCCAAGAAAACCAATATTCGGCTCTTGCCCTCTGAGTCAGTCTGAATC